GTAAAATCATGCATAACTTTATTTTGAAGGCTTTAAATATTTAATCCTCACTTTCATTGTCACCAGGACTGAACACAATAAACAAACACATTCTAGAAAATACTTCCCAAAGCCCACACCCTTTTATGAAACTGTCTGATTGCGTTCGTTACAATAAGGTGCCAACACAGATTTAGCCCCGAATAAAATTGGATTTTTATTGCTCTCGTTGCTTTGAATCGAGTCCCTGCCGCGTTTTATTTGAGGACCACCATAATTGAGACGATTATGCAACCTCTGCTGATGTGATTTTTACGACCAGTTGGCAACATATTTTTATCGGTCGCTGCTTCAGATTTCAAGGTACAACTTTTATCAACAAGGAATGCGTGAAAAATATCTGCAGTGGCCGGTCGGGAAACACCCACGAATTGTACACACACAAAAGGCCAAAACTGGAGCAGCGGTGAAACAACATTTCTTTCTCAAGGATGGCGTGCCAAGTTAATTTTTTGCATTATTCATTATCTTCATAATTAGTGCGAATTTAATCTGATTTTTTTCATGACCAGCAGGTGAAATTCAAATTATGGTGCCAATCGGAATAAAAATTCTAATAAAATTGCGAAACGTTGTAAATTTTATGATGCGGCCGAAAAGCTGCGTGCACGCCATTGAGATGGTCCAGTTCTCCTTCGGCGAAGTGACCGCGCCAAGATTTAGTGCCGTGCGGGATCGGGGCAGACGCTCGAGCGAGCGTCGTTGGCACTGCAGTGAGCGAGCGTGAGGATCACCTCCGTGGACCCGAATCTGGGTCACTTCGCGCGGCAGGCGTGCGAACATGAGGAAATTTTCAATGCAAATCCCGCCGCTTTTGTCAATATTTGTCGCATTGCGAGCACTTTGATTTGACTAAAAGTCATGAGAGTGAGAAGTAAAAGGTGTTGTGCAATTTGTTGAATAAAAAAAACCGACGTGAATCAAATTTTTTACGAACATAAATAAAATTTAAAAGTAAAAAATTTCAAATATTACAAAGATACCCTTATATTGATTTGAATTATTCTTTTTTTGGCAAATAAAATTTAAGTTTTGATTTATCTTGAAAAATATCATTGGAAACATATTGTCAAAATATTTTTACAGTTTAGAAACTTAATTAGCTACAGTTTTTTATTAAACCTTTCTACTGGAAAGGATGAAAACAGTGAAAAAAAAATTCGTTTTTCCACAATACCATACAAAAGATGGAAAACATGATTAATATATTTAAATTGCACGTTACTATGAAGAATAATATATACCAACAAAGAGTAATTGAATGAATAAATTGGTCATTTTGGCCAAGCGGAAGCTTTTATCCCTTGAATCCCAATCCATAAGATTGATGATTAAGGCCTTTTACGACAAAGAAGACGCATTAGCAAAATTGATTTCAGACCGAGGAAGCAGACGGGCTACTGACTTAAATTAATGGTCTGAAGTGCCACACTTGAACGTTTGCATTTTATCGGAATTTTTTTTTTTTTTTTTTTGAATTGTAGAAAGTTGGTAATAAAAGTATGGTTTGCAGCACCCAAAGCAGTTTGTCTCTGAAGGCGGGCGACGGCGACAAAAAGGTTAATTGGGGTCAATATGCGGCTTTCTTGTTAGACGCGATCAGTTCATATATTGTATAAAGAAAATAAGGAAATATACAAACAGCGTTAGACTTATTATACAATATTGGAAATTTGCTTAAATTTTAATTCTATAGTGCAATTTATTATAATTTGTTTTAATTAAAAATAAACATTTGATAAATATTATTAAAATGTTTTAATCTTTAGTAGATTATTCTTATTTTATGGACCATTTTTAATTTTTTTTAATCAATTATTAGCCATAATATTATTAATTAAAAATCAATAATGTGCATTAATACAGATGTCAACTAAAAATTACTGTTGAACTGTTATACATATTATTAATTTTGTGCAATAACATCTTCTCCAACTAATCAGTAGTTCTGTTGAAATGATTAATTAAAATATATGTATCCTCATTTGGTTCATTTTTACAAATTTATTTATGATTCGAGAAACACGATATTTGATAATAAATTAATAATATTATTTTGAATAATAAATCTTGACCGCGTTGAAATGGTGTATTTTATTAATAACAGCTAATTAAAATATAAGATGATAAAAAGATGTTATAAATTAGCCTAAAATAAAACATCAGCTAGGATTGAAAAAAGAACAAACCGCATTCAAAACATTCCAAAACTATAGTCATCATAGAGGATTTAAACAAAAGATTAAATATAAAATTTGTGTGTGCGTTTCAAAACGATTCAACAAAAGAGTTTCACACAAACACTGCGGCTTATTTACTTTAAGCGTAACTCGCCAGTAGTTCTTTTGATATTCAATTAATTGCCGCAATTATAATTGAATTAAATTCAAACAAGGGAGCCGTAATTGTATATGGAGAACGTCTTTTGAATTATAGTGCACTGAATCAAATGATCGCATTTACTTTTCGCTCGAATCCAACAACAGTGAAAGTACAAATTCTCTGCCACACACATTCGAAGAAAAGGCGGCGCATCTCTGCGCGCGCGAAAATCTAGCCGGCTCGATTGCAATGGAGGACTTTGATCGCTTGCGACATTCAATACATGCACACGTTCAAATTATGAATCGATTGAGTTGTCGCTCGTGCCGCTGCCGATCGCGCAAACAGAGACAATCGACAGATAAAACGCTTTCGGTTTATTATTGTCGAGGCGTAATTTGCATTCAAACGGCGCGAGAAGCAAGATTTCATATTTTGGAGTTCGTCCAAGAGTTTAATGAAATTGTGGTATGCAAATGAGGAAGCACATTGAGTGGAAGCTCGTTTCATCTTCCTACTCGTTTAGATACGGATACTTGGTTTTATAGCCAATTTGTGGTTGTTGGAGAATAAATTATGTGTAAATCTAAACTGGTGATTAAGTAATTATAAAATCAAATTTTACACTTGATGAGCATTAAACATATCATAAAAATGTGTTAGTTATTATTTAAAAAAAATCTCTGATTGTAAGTTTCAAATTACCTTCCAAGACGAAAATAAATTCAAAATTAATAAAATGCAACTATATAATTTCTGTGTTTATTAAATTGATTAAAAAAAAAACTATACTCTGAAGCGAGCCTACTTTTTGTCAGAGGATGAAAATGCAAATCTCACGCACATCAACAATTAAATAAAATTAGCAAAATTAGCAAGCAACAAATGTTGCAAATAATGAGCAACGTTTAATAGACTGCTATTAAAAATAGTTTAAAAAAACAGAAACATTCAGATTCCGCAAGTCACGAGCCTGCCACGTGCAGATCGGTAAAAATTCCTAAGACGCGCAACAAATCAAAGCGCGCAAATGCGTTTTGCGACAGCCGCGTCAAAGACCCCGGCGGCAGCTCGCGTTTCTCGCTCTGTAATTTAATGCGTTTGAATGCGCGCCCGGTCACGATCTACAAATCGGCCGCCGCTTGATTACTGTGTCAGATTAGATAGTAGTACTGTTGAGAAACTGAGCCCCATTAACGGTTCTGATCCTGAATGGGTGGGTGTCCGCACCCGGCAAAAAAAATATTTTCAAGGTCTCCAATTTAAAAGAATGCGCATTAATTAGCGGCGTTTTCTAGGAGGTGCGAGATCTATCGCGGCCCCTCAAAAATAATATTTTAATTAGACTGGAATTCTCGAGCTTGCAATTGATTTATGTGTTTGAAAAAAAAATTGGCAAGACCATTGTTCGCGTGCTAAGATTGATTGATTTGGGCCGCGGAGAAACGAAATGCAACCTGCTCGATTGACTGCTTTCTGGGGCGGGTAGACCACAAGGAAAGTTAAAAGCCAGACGGCGTAAAAGTGGATTTAATTTTTACTAAAGCGGTTTTCGTGCGTTGCTAAATACTTTTGGTTTTTTGCTGAAAGTAATTTTTCAGGTTTATTGCAATACCAACATAAATTAAACTGCACTTCAAAAATTAATAAATAAAAAGATCAATATTAAAAGCAGCAGATAAAACTAAATTTATATCCTTTTAATGTTCTTATCTCCGAAATAAAAAAGTGAAATTATTGGCGAGGAATCTGACTGTCGGCCTCTTCCCGCAAGCTGATTACCCAATCTTATCGATGATTTAGATGGCAGGAGCGCGAATTCGGGACCTCCCCCGTTGCAGCAGCTTCGTCTTCCTCGAAGAAAGTCGAAACATAAGCAAGGCATAGGCGCCGCATCTTGCAAACTGGATTTACATCGCTCACATTTAACGCACATTAATATTGCGAGGTGTGGTTTTCCCTGCTGTGTTGTACCACATTTTTTTTGCTCCATCTCATATGCATGCGAGGACCTGTCATCTTATACAAACATTACGGTCATTCATTACTTTTTTCAAACAATTTTTTATTAACAGTGCAACGTTCACTCGTGACTCATGTTACAATTTTTTTTATAATCAAGATCATTTCACTTTCAGTCTTTTTCAATGCGGAAGATTAAAAAAAGGAAACAGAAAGAAAATTAAAATTCTGATTGCAGATTAAGTCTCTATAAAACTGAAGTTATTATGTAATCAGTGGATTTTTATATATAGATTTTTTATTATATAAAAATTTCACGAGTATTTCACAATTTTTTAGAAAAAAAAAATTCATAAAATGAGATGGATTTGCAACCATTTCAATAAAGAAATTTTAAATAGTTGCTTAACCAAACGATCAATTTTATTTTTTGTTCTTTCAAAAGATCAATTGCAATTAATCACTGTGAGAGTCAACCTTCAATAGAAAAGTTCGCGATCGACGAATGCATGCCGGAACATCTTTGACCAAGATTTGCATATCAAATAAAGAGAGACATTTCCTCGCCACAATAATTATTATTGTCGAAGGGTGTCGTGTGTCGAGAGCAACGACGGGCAACTTGTTCGTCGGCTCGGCAGGGTTGTGGTGTGGAAGAGAGTGCAGGGTCCGCCAGGGTGGGGAGTGGTCCTAAGGTTGAGAGCCCGGCTATATAAAGAGCGACTACGCCTTCAACAGACGTTCAGTTCACTCTTTTGTGCACTTTTACTGACTCCTCGCCTAGGTAAGCGGGTCAGGCCTGTGTGTGTCTGTGTGGATATTTTAAATTGGATTACCTTCTGCGCCAGCCGACGCCCGATCGAGACGCATTATTTCAGACTCGCCGACCTTACGTTTGCGACTTTCCAGCCGGCGATAAAATCTTTTTAATTTCATTCTTAAATCTTGGTTTTTAAAATTTTTATTTTTCTTCAAACTCTTAAATATTTAATTTATTTTTTAAATCCGTTTATAATATTTAATTAAATTTTTATTAATTGGATTTATTTTAAATGTTAAAAAATTGTTTCAGGACGCGCTATGTTGCGGTTGGTAGTTTTGGTGTGTGCCGTGCAAGTGGCCCTTGCTGGCTATTTCAACAGTCATCTGAGCCCAGCCTCTGTCACCTATGTGAACGGCCCTGCACCCGTCGCCCTGCGCGCCGGACCCGCCGCCCATTATGTCACCCCCACAACATACGCCGCTCCTGTACACACTTATCCCTCTCACGTTGGTGAGTTTCGTAAATTTTTTATCAAAATTGCAAGCATTAAAATTATTTCCTTACAGTCAAGGCAGTGCCCACCGTCCACCACGTGCCCGCCTACACTAACGTGCCCTTCAAGACCTACGAGCACACCCCCGCCGTGTTCCAGAAGACCGTGGATGTCGCCAAGCCTGCCATCCAGACCCGCAAATTTGAGGTTCGTCCGGAAAAATCATATTTTTTTTTTTTTAATTTTTAACTGTTTTCTTGGCTTTTGCAGTTGCGTCGTCCTGCCATCCAGAAGCAGTTCTACGACATCGAAGAGCGCGTCCTCATCCGCCCCGCTGGTTCCGCCCTTGTCGAACTTGACGAGCCCACCTCCCGCACCCAGAAGGGATCTCCCGTCATCTCTCCCCTGGCCGCCATCCACGCCGTTCCCCAGTACGCTCACTACCCCGTGGCCGCCTACCCCGCTTACAAGCAGGCCGTTTATCAGGGATATCCTTTCGCCACCCCCGTCTACCCCGTAGCCACCCCTGCCTATCCCTCTGGCCCCTCTGCTCCCGCCGTCGAGGGCCCCTCCGCCCCTGAAGCTCCCGTCGCTCCTGCCGAAGAAGGTCCCTCTGCTCCCGCTCAGGACTCTCAGAACTTCAATCAAGACAACTCTCAGGGTTTCCAACAGGACAACTCTCAGGGTTTCCAACAGGATAACTCTCAGGGATTCACCCAGCAGCAGCAGGGCGTGTCTAACTTTGCTCCCCAGCAAGATCTCGAATCCGTCTCCGTTGACAACCCTGAGTTTGGCGCCCGTTCTCTCAACCCCGAACCCTCCAGCACCGAGGCTACCCTGACCTCCACCACCACCTCCACCACTACCTCCACCACCACCACCGCTGCTCCTGCTCCCTCCAACGAGCAGTACGAGGCTGAGATCCGCACCATGTTCGCCGCCCGTCGTGCCCAGTTCGAGGCCGAGCAGCGTGTCGAGGCCATGCAGAGACTCTTCCTGGAACAACAGCAGAACACCCTCCAGCGTCAGCAGTACGAACAGTCCCAGCTCTTGAACCGTCAGGCCGCCTCCGTCGAGGCCACCCCCGAACCTGCTGCTCCCGTCACCACTGAGGCCGCTCCTGCCGTCACCGAGGCCGTCACTGATGCCACCCCCACCAGCACTGAAGCCCCTGCCCCCGCCCCCACCCAGGCCATTCCTCAGGCTCCCCTCGAGGCCCGCAGCAACTTTCCTGCTGAGGCTCCTGTCCAGGCTCGCAGCAACTTCCTCGGCGCTCAGGAGCAGCAGCTTCAGCAAACCGAAGACCTTCTGAGGGAACAGGTGCTCCCTGAGGCCCGCTCCGTCATCCCCTCCGTGCGCAACCTGAGCCCCGAAGTCAACAAGGCCAACCAGCAGCGCCTGATCGAGCTTCTGACCGCCCGCGGTGGTATTGCTGAGGTGCACGGCTACGGTGCCGCAGCCGGACGCACCAACGGAAACGTCGGCGATGCTGGAAACGTGCGTGCCCGCGTCCTGTCCGCCACCCCCGCCCCCGAGAACTCCGACCCCACTGGCGAGCGCGTCTCCACCCGTCGCATCGTCGTTTCCCGCCCCATCGAGACTGTCCAGGAGATTGAGGTCGTCGAGCCCGCCACCAAGATCCACCGCGTCACCTACCAGCAGCCAACCCTGATCAAGACCGCCCGTCTCGGCGTCGCCAGGGTGCAGACCTCCGTGCCCGTCTACGGAAAGTCCCTGCAGGCTCACCCCATCGCCTACTACTAAGGCCTCCAACTGTAACACCAAGTTACCCCGCGTCCACTGCCGAGGGCGCGGTAATTTTTTAGATGCTTAATGTGTCGACTGGCAACCAACTTTATGTATTTTTTAACCGAATCGCACCGTTTTTGGCCACTTTCGTAATACTCAAATCAAAATATTACATTTTATTTGCTCCAAACTTTTCTATTCACTGCGCCAAAAACGGTCCGAATGCCACTGAAGAATGTTTTTAATATTATTTTTATATAATAATTATATAATATATAATGAACTGTTAGTTCCTTTTTTGTAGCACCAGCCGACGTGGTTCTAGTCTTCCTGAACCGCGACAATTGTTTTTATTTATTTGTCGCGCGTTCACTGAGACTTGCTGCGAAACGACCCGAGCCAATCGTGCTGATAAAATTGCGCAACTTATATATTTCTTGGCGAATTTTATCAGCACGATCTGGTCGTAAAATGTTGTAAATAAGCTCATACGTTTGGTCCGAGTTCAAATCCGGCAGCTTTTCCCTCAAAGTGAAAAGCAGACAGATTTTACCATCGGCCAAAGTTCATGTCATCATTTCCTCTCTTCTCTCTATTTATGCGTCTGCCCTGTCTTTTTCACAACTTCACCCTGTTATCTGTCTTTTTCTTTTCGTGTCTTTTTTGTACATTCACGCGCCTTATCCTTCGACTGTGTCTGAATAAATTATCTCGACATTCAAAACGAAAATCACATTGCCTTTTTAATTTCGTCTGGTTCCCAAGGTGCTCCACCTCTCTGCCCTAAATCTACTTTTCTTTTCTTATTTTTTCTCGGGCGGCCTTTCTTTTAAATTATTTCAACATTGCCCAACGCACTGCGGAATGAGATAAAAAATAAACTCGCTCGCCTGTAGCTTGCCCAGCTAGGGAGTGGTCGCGATGCGATTTATGAGTAATCTGCTGCAGAATGTACCAGAGCAGTGGCCAACTTGTGCAATCGAAAGTGAGAGGTTATTCGTCCTAGCAAAAGTGTCTCGATCACCAAAGTGCCTGCCAAATGGCATATTCATTCATCACAAACATCTCGGCCGCTTGAGCAACTCCGCGTGTGTTTTACTTGATACGCTCACTCGCCTGCGTTTTATTTCGATCGCACACGTCTATCAAAAACGCCTTGTAATTTTCAGGCAAATAATAAATCACTCTTTGAGTGCCCGTCGTTTAATCCCCCGCCTCCCGAAATTGGGTCAAATTTTAGGAACTTTTCTCCTTTTTCGTAAAAAAAAGAGAGCCGCATGATTTCTTCAATCACGAATCAGCAATAATGGGAATCAAGTGCTAAATTAATCTAGTGCCTGGCGAAATTTTGAAGTCGATTTTCAGGGCAGATATTTATGACAAATAATTATTCCAACAATAAGTTTCAAATTACAGTGTAAAAATATAATTGTTTTAAGTACTGTCCACTTTCAATTTTTTTCATCGTTAAAATTATTTATTACTGCATAAAAAGTGATAAGTAATTTTTGTTGTTGTACATTTCTTAGTTTAATTTTAAGATGGGGTAGTTTGAAAAATCTAATATCATCTAACATTTAGTTAGTTTTATGACACTAAGAGTGTTATTTATTAAAAATAAAATAATAATTTGCATTTGGCAGTAGCTTATAAACATACATAAAAAGTGATATTCATTTATTTAAGAATGCATTATGTGAAATGAATAAATACAGATTTTCTGATTTTAATATATAGGCAAATAAAGGAAAGTATATTCTGCACTTTGACGTTGTGTAATATAGTTGTAATATATTAATATAAATTTACAAAGTGGTTGAAGAAAAACAGATAAAGAGTTTTCAATATATTATAATTATAAAAAAAATGGCAAGAAAGGCAAAAAATTTCGTACTCTTCATTGCAATAACCTTATTTATTTGATTTTATTGTGGATATATATTTAATTTTTAATGACTGTAGGCTATGCAACCATCTTGACTTCGCCTCATGACATTGCTGCATAACCTAAAAGGCGCTTTGTCGCTTCGAAAAGTGGAGGCAATAGAAAGCTTTTGCTGACGAGAAACAATTACTCTCAAACGTAAGAGAAGGAGCGCCGTATTGTTATGTTTAGGTGTTATAACAACAGCTCAAGACTACGCAAATCGCTTCCCGTGCAAACAACTCAAATGAAAAATAATGTAATTTGCATTTTGAGATAAGGTGACAGTTAACAACCCTTTTAAAATCAAGTAAACTTTCTTCAAAACAGTATAGATATCAGGAGAATATTAATGAAACTTAAGCCAATGCAGAGATATTTCTCAACATTAATGTAGAGAGATATCTCTACATTATTTTGCAGGTATTGTTGAAAAAAATATTTAAAATTCAGACACTAATTAGATATTTATACTCTCGTATTTTATTGACTGACTGTTGGATATGCAACTATCTCGTCTTTGGCGCATGACTTTGCTGCATAACCTTCCAGGCACCTGCTTGTCGCTACCAAGTGGAGAAGGTTGAAAGCTTTGATCTTGCTACCTTTCGATTTCACTCAAGTGAATATTTTGTAGATTTTATCAATTAAATATTTTAAGTAATTGATATAGGGTGTTGAAATTTGTAACTTGAATTCAAGTATTTAAAAACTGTGTAGTTGAGGAAATTAAAACTGTCCTAAAGTTCCTTTTTTTTAATACAAGGAGACCTTTTGACACGGTACAGGGAAGTTGCCTTTGAGAGAGGAATCTAATGAAATCATCGACCGTCACGACAGCTTTTAGTGAGTGGGATCACGGAAAAGCCCTCACGTTAATTTAACATTAAAAAAAGGAATTATACTTCAAATGTCTATCTGAATTTTAAAATAACCAAAAATAACAATAAAATTGATATTAATCCAAAATTTGAGATTAAAAAGAAAATTAATCAAGCTCAAAAGGTTAGTTTTCTAATTGAGAGGTTGGAAAGAATAAGTTTTTGTTCTGGTGAAATTGACAGCAAAGTCGTGTGCTGTGTGAAAAGAGCAACTCGTTAAGTTAAATTGCCTGTTCGCGCTGATCAAGCCCATAGTGGCGTTTCTTTCTTTCTGGATCTAAACGCCGCCCAGAGCGACTGCTGATATGTGTTGCTCTAACGGAACTGCATCGCCGGTAAATCTCGCGTGAATTTGTGAAATGCTACAGGCGCCACATCACGCTGCCTTCTCAAAAAAGAGAGCCTTTGAATCAGTCGTTTTATTGCGGCGGAAGATTAAATTTTGCACTCTCTCATCGAGAGGTTTTGCGAATTCGAAAGAGAAAGAGCGTATTTTTGTGTGCACACTGTTTACTCGATCGACTTTTTACGACGCGTTTTCCGCGTGAGAGTGCACACCATTAAGTTTAATTTCATTTACTATGCGTATATACATGTAATTATGGCTACTTTTATTTCTGAAGTGCACAAGAAACTGAAGAAAGTAAGCGTGAATTAATGTGATAAATAAATTACAATACTTTATAAGCAAGTTTTTAAAAAGTGCAGCAGCTTTTCACTTCGTAAAATTCTACTGAATCAATTTTTTTATAATTTTTGTTTAAATAAGTCAGTCAACAACTTAACTTTGTTAAAATTTTCACAAATATATAATTTTCTGTTCAAATTAAAAACTTCATCAATCTCACTTAAGATAATTTTCTTTTTCAAAATAATTCATTTCAGGGATACAAAAATATTTTATCGTTTTATTTATGTATTTCATCATAAGTTATTATATTAATTTCAAGTTAATATCATCATTAAAATATCTAAATAAAAAAATCACCTAGTCTTCATGTTCATACATTCAAACCAATGTTGAATGATTTTAAATAAGATAAACGGGGTTTACTTCTGATTGCTACAAAAATTATTATATAAAAATCAAGTCAATTTGGTGAAATTAATTTTTTTTTATTATAGTATAGCTCCGTAAAATTATTATATTTACCAGAAACGATGATTTTTTTTCTTTTTTAAATGTAAATTTATAAAGTTTACAACAGTGAAAATCCAATAATTTCTTCATCAGAATCATCGTTTCATTTCTTTTTAAGAGTGTTTGTTCGTCTCCAAAGTTGGCTTCGAGGCCAGGGTGTCACTTTTGGCTTCTTGTGCGGCAATCCTTGATTGCACAACACCTTCGTTAATTCCAAGACTCTACGCGACAACAGCAGGAGTCGCACTCCATTCCAAAGCTGCGACAAAATAATATTTTCACCAGAAAATTTCTCTCTCCCGCGAGCGCAAGGCCGTTTGCAATGAATGCTTTTTCTGATTAATGGCTGGGCTTCAAAACGACAAACAATGCGTGTAATTACCTTTCGGGGGTTTTGCATTCTGTGCAAGTTACTCCTCTTAAGATCGGATATAAATTATAAAGCATGAGAGAATTAAATTATATTTTCCATTAATTGTGTTTAAATTCCCAACATAAAATAGTCAGTAGATTCAAAACCAATTGAAATTTTGTTATTAAATCTTGTAATTTTTCTTTTTCCATTTTCTTTGAATTTTTATTTGTAACATTTTTATCATTTAAATTATAATCATACTTTTTTATTTTCATATCATATTTGAAGTGGAATACTATTGGAATGGTATTTCTAATATTGAAAGTCCTAAATTTGCAGACATATATTTTTAGTATATAAAATTTAGAACAAACTTTCATCATGTAAGTTGAAAAATTACTAAGTCCAGGTTTCCTGTCACCCTCTCAAAATCATATATTTTAATCAATAAAGTCACTAAATTATTCAAACCAAACGGAAAATTAAAATTTACTAAAACTTAATTTAAAATAATAATTAGTAATGAAGCAGTTTTTTAATTATAAATCGTAATCATGAATATATTGGGAAAAGACAAATTTATATTGTTTAAAATCTTTGTATTAAAAAATTAATACTTGGGGTTTTGCTAAAAAAAAGATTTTTAGCGAATCATCATAAAACATAGGATGTCATTATTATTTTGAACAGCAGATTTTTTCTCTTCTCGATTCGATTACGGATAAGCAATAATTAGGATGAAGATTCGGCGGTGTTGAGCACAGGTGTTTTCGCAGCTGGCGCCACACTCGAAGACTCTGCACGTCCTCGAGGTAGGGAGGAGCAGGTGGGAAGCAAGGAAGGGAGGCCGTCGAGCGGCGCGTCCTACGGAGCCATCCATCCAGCTCCTCGCTCGCGCGGCAGTGCACATCACCACGGCCAGGGACGACCTGCGTCCATCAACTGCACGTAAGTATAACGACACCACTCCTCACCCTCTGCAACTCCGAACGTAGCAATTTTTTGTTTTTTTTTTGTTTTAATTTTGAAAAAAAAATAATTAATTACTTATTAAATGCTAATTGTTGCAAAAATTTAAGGTAAACAAATTAATTTTACTCCCAGATGATTTATTTTATTTTATTTAAAACCCAAAATACTGTAAAGGTTTAGAGCAATTTTTTGAAACAATATAATTTTTTATAATATTTACATCAGGAAATTAAACAATATTAATTTCACAAATCTATTGAAATAAATTATATTTCCGCATTACATTCCATTCTAGAAGTATCATGCTCTAAAAAAGTCAGGTAGGAAGTTAAAAGGAGCTATAACTGTGACAAACACGTGCTAAATTTTAAAGTAGAAGATCAAGTCAATTAGGTATTCAAATAAAACAGGAGGTGCGAGTCAAATTGAAATATTCGCAGGCATCAAGTGTCAATAATTTTAATGCTGTAAAAAGTAGCTCCACTTGCCAATTACCAAAAATATGCAGAGCGATCGTAAATCGGACGAATAAAATTAATCCGCGCTGATAAAAAAAGCGTTAAATGCGCGCGAGAGTCGCCCCGGGCATCTGGCACATATAAAAAATTGAGCATAATATAAATTCAGGTAGCAGCTCTCGCGGAATGCTGACCTGAAGGTTCAAGGTTGCATCCGTTCTTCGATGACGTCACAGTCAAAGTTTTTTATTTTCGTTCATTATTACGGAAGAGAAAATTATTGAGAATTCTGGTCGCGACTGCTTCTCCGCACTTTTTTATTATTTTGTTTTACAATCTCATAAAAATAGGCAACAGGGTCAGCTTTCTTTTCGGCCGAGTCCGCTTGGATACAGAATTAAATGTGCATGGATTAGCCTGCTGCAGATTTATCGAATGCTCGTCGCATTGTAATTCGGACACAAAGCGCATTGTACGCCCGGTGTCGATGGATCCAATTTTTTTTTATTAACTCTTCAAATTGATTTTGTTATTCAATGGAGAGGTGAAGAAGAATCGCCATTGTTTGGAGAAATGGAAACCATTGTAGTGCGACGTGATCCTAATTTAGAAAATCGACCATTTTCTTTCAAAACCACTCCAGTATATCTCATTTCAATGAGCTTTTACTTTTTTGTGTGCACGTGCCTTTGAAACAAAAATTGAGACTTATCAATTTCTAACCACTTTCGTCGGTGATGAAGTTGTCAGCATCCTGTGTAATCCTAGAGTTGGAAATTTAGACACGATGCTCTGGCGAAAATCAAATCCGCTGACCCAGAAACCAGTTTGAAAACGCACGCATTTTTTTCGTTTCTGTTCCGACAACATTTGAATATTTTCGAGCCGATCAGAATATCCATTCAAAATAAAAAAAATGCAAAACAGACTCGTGAGGTTAGTGCCAAAGTAATTATTGGTGCGTGATGCGAATTTAACAAACGTCTTTGCCAATCGTTGGCTGGCAGCTGGCGGAGGTCACATTACAATTTGCTAAAGGTGCAGCTTCTTTCGAATGTGGTCGAGCTTTTAATCAATTTTTATATTATAAGCTGCGCATTTATGGCAATTACGGCGGAGCTTTTGATGCGCTGCGTGCCCGTGAGGTGTGATTTATTCGGTTGCGCGAAAGGCCAAATCTTTTTGTTACATCATCATTCAAATCGTTTGACATGATTTGGCCATGATGGGGCTAAACGCAGATTTTTTTCATAATTGTTTTTTCTCAATTCAAAGCGAAATTGCACAGTAAATTAACTTTGAAGTATATATTGTGCTTTAAATTTTATTTCCTTAATTCACGAATATATTATATATCTTTGAGGCGTAAAATCAATTTCAATAGGTACAGAGCACGTAATTCATGATCGATGTTTAATGAAAATAATTCATTAATGCCAATTTTGGGAACTGGAATTTTAAGATTAATTACTTTTTAATATTTTTGAAAATTCCTTTTCGGAAATCACTTCTTTACAAAATAATGCTTTTTTTAATAACAAACAGTTTTTTTTTAATTTAATAAAACGAAAGTAAAATATTAATGAAATAATAAATTTTCTTCTTCTAAACTTAAAATATTATTCATAAAAAAAACGCACAATTGCCTTTACAATATGCGCGTTTTACCTCCTGAAAGATATATGACTACACAGTTAATTTACATAAAACATGTCTTTCGAGCACGCTTACTTACACAAACATACGAAAATCTTTAATTTTTTTCCACCACGTTGGGAGATCAGCAGGCCCTGTACGAAAGCTGGCGCTTGTTGGCTGAATGCGCGCCGTTTAAACCAACAATATAAAAAGCAACGATCATCGTCATTACTGAGGATCCACCTTTTTGCAGCCTAAAAAAATTATAATAATAATAAACCAACACTCAACCAAGCAAAACAATATTAACAAAACGCCGTAATTACCACTTTCAAAAGATAGCACTTGAATAATTTTTTGCAGACTATTTCAATCGAAAGGGAAGGAGACTGAAAATAATTAAGCCCATGCAAAAAATCCAGAATAATTACGGGAGTCATGACGATGAAACCGTGCGATATGCGTTTAATCTTTAATTGCATCACGAGCACCATCTGCGGCATTCAGAGCGGAACGCGTTGTTTTTTTTTCGTTGTTTTGCTTTTCACCGTCGGTTGCGGAGTAAAATTAAATCACATGCATCGGTTTTGCTCTCGCTCCAAACATGCATGGGATGTTATTTCATACTTGGCAGTGTGGTACGTCTGCGTGCGCTACTATGTACATTTCTTGGCGACTAAACTGCTGCATTTGTTTCGTTGCGCTGAAGAATTATAACACCGTGAGCACCCACACTTTGTGGGCACACGCACTTTCGATTTTGTAATCAAAAGGCACTCACGGTCTAGACACGTTCCCTTTGTCATTACCTAACGTTGGAATGAGTTCAGATGTGCGCATTCGCTCTGGTTTTTGCTCCAAAATTTCCTTCCTTAATTTAATTTATTTAATTTCAAGCTTAAGCTCACTGTAAATTTTGAGAAGAAATGATTGTCAGTTGAACATCGTCTAATTTTAATCATGGAAAAAGTTGGAAATGAAAGCGTTTAATTTGATTGAATTCATTTAATATTCTGGGTTAAAAATTGTACAAATGTTAAAATAATTTTTATTTAAAACTAATATTTAATGTGTATAATATGTAAAGTAATCTTGTGCAAACTTTGATAACATGAACAAATAATTAACAGATTTAATAGAACTAGAGTTCAATGATTATGGATTGATATAATTTAAGTTGAAAATCATTCAATTGCACTTCTCCATCCTTCGCTCAAAAAGGTTGATCAAGGTAAATTAATTTATTAAATCTACATTCAGATATACCTTAAAAAACCTATTTTGTTATGCTCACAATTAATAAATTTCCCGTGCAATGTTCGATTTCCCACTCTTTAATTTTCAAGTTTATTAAACTTTGCGCTTTTCTATTTACTTTTTGAGCTACGAACGATGTACTTTTAATTTAATTTGGAAACGAGATGATAAAAACGTGGTTAATTCTTTTAATATATTTTCAATGTTGAATGGAAAAAAGAATTAGTGAATGAAAATCTGACGGACAGAATCATAGAATTGGGACAAAATAGAAAAACAAATGAGGAATTTCGGTCAAGATTTTCTTATAAATAGCAATTCATCGCATAAATAACATTTAAAATTATAAATATACCAAAATTACTATCCAATGTAACGTTCAATCACATAATTCTTCTGAGAAGAAAAGCTTTGTTAAAATTAAACATTGCAAATGATGTGTCAAATTTATAATCAATAATTCCAGAAAAATAAATTATCTTTTTTTGGGAATTATTCAGCATTTTTCTAGGACGAAAAACATAAAAAATACCTATTTAAGAATTTTAAGAATTAAAAATTACAATGATTTAAAATTTAGAAAAAAAAAATATAAAACTTGGAGAAATTTATAGACTAAAAAATATTTTTAGCAACTGGTGATGCGCTTATTTGGGAAGACCGAATCTTGCAAAATCTTTCTTGTGATGAGCGCTAATTTTTAATTTTCGGCGCCACAGCTTGTATATTTTCTTTTCTCGCCGATCAAATTAGTCACAGCGCCACAATTAATCAAGAAAAAGCCTTGGCGGCAGCTAATCGACGTGATCATTGACTCCTCAGGACGTGCTTGAATTTTGAAATGGACAATTTCTCCGCGCGCGAACAACAAAACAGCTCAATTCGTTCTATCCACGGACAACTCTCGTTTTATATTAATTTACACACACACAGTCGCGCAATAAATTAGCCCTTCCTTTCAAAGAAAATTTCCATTGCTCGCTGCATGCAAAGCTTTCCTCATCTCGGTGCATCTCTTGCAAGTACACGTGGTGAGCACGCCTGTTTTTCCCCTATTAGAAATGTGTGCACTTGCAATATCTCTTGAAAGACGAGAAGTAAATGTCTGCGGCTTCTTTCGAGACGCTAATGATCGCCGCTCTGCTCTAGGCATCGTGATAATGAACTGTTTTGACGTGTGTGGATTTTATCATTTCCACGCCTGAGGCGCGTTTGACACTTCTGGTTTAATTCGCAGCAACAAATCCAGATTTCACGCCGCTTGCCAAGAGAGAGACGCGTGTCTTGTTTTTTCCAAAGCCGTTTTTAGGCAAAATGATTGGTTATGTCGAGAAGAGAAACACTGAAGCCAAAATGCGTATATGTTTTTTGATTGAATAAATATGTATATCCTGAGACACGCTGACGCAAATCAATCAAGTTTTGGAATCAATTATGAAAACCACAACACAGAGCAACCGATGTTTACATATGAAAATAAATTATGAAACTCTTCCTAGAAAGTTTCTTGTTGTTTGTAAACTTTTTTTAGTTATCAGTTTTCTAGTTTGTAAATCGATTACCAAAAGGCTTTAAAAATTAAGACAATTTTTACCCTCTCATAAAAAACCTAAAGAAATCGAT